ACTGTTATGACATATGCCGAATGTGTTGTAGCCTAAAAAATATGTCACAACTTCTTGCAGAGTTAACAGCTTTGACTCACTATAAATATATGAGTATAACAGTTACTATAAATGTGTTATATGACACCGTGCTGGGGGGAAGGTTCGTTTTTGGTTGATTGAAGCCTTGGGCCCGATGTATTCCACCTTAACACAAACGAAAACCAGTCTACGAGAATCATCATGCTAAGTGTATTCCCGTCAGTCTAGGCGGAAAAAGCCAAGGTTAAAGGAAATACCTGACGCCAGAATAATTAAAAATGAAGACAAGTTCATATACTACTAGAGATAGATTTTTGTGGATGGAAATATGGAGACAAAAAAAGGCGAAGGAATTAGACATGTACGCTCCACTTCGCCTTAAACCAAAGAAGCACTTTCCAGAGTAAGACGTGTCCCACACGACATTATCATCGAGGTACTCCTTGGAGAAAGACTAGGAAAAATCAAAGCTGAGCAGAATGTAGAAAAGTGTCATACAGCCTACATTTGATATTGCTGGAAATTTAAAGTTCATAAGTTCCTCGAGTACGTCTCCTGAAGCAGATATTTGAAGCAGAGATTAGGAGACAGTATATTAGGCCCGGAAAGCAAATTCTTCCCAAACAAATATCCCAGTCGGCCACCTACACCACCTTTATTTTATGAGGTTAATTGGACAGCCCCGAAAAATAATTTTACATATAAAGGCCAGTTATAAGACACGATATTCCTCCTCGGTGCAGCCAATTTATTAGACGTTGTAATTTATAGCTTGCATTCCTTTGTCTAAAAGGGAGGCCAAAGTAATAAATCAGGGCGATTTTTTTGTGTTCGACAACTTTAATTTACAACATCTTGCCAACAAATCTGTTGGCATGTAAAACAGCCTTTTTACTTTCTATAGATCACATCTGAGGTAAACAGTACTATGAGGCGCTGTTTTTTTTATCATAGAGACCTCGGACAGAATGCAGTTTTTCACAATTTTGCAAGGCAAATTGCACCCATTCAATATTCAGACGATCGAAGCACGCGCTTCCTTTGCACAACAAATTATAGAATTGACTTTATTATTATTACAAATCGTTTTCATGGAGAGAATTCCATAATGCCGGGACTGTTCAATCATAAAAATCTTATCCTATGTGGTATACAGGGTAAAAGTGGGCTTTTAGCGAAAACGTTTAAAAAAATTTCCAAAATCACCTATACGGCTAGCCGGTTCTCACTTTTGACAAGCACTAAATTTGCAGGGTGAGCTGTTGTAAGAAGCTTCAACATAATAAAGAATTTATTATGCTTATTTTTTATTTAATTTTTTTTTTTTTATGCGTAGTCTTTAAAAGCGTTTGATACGCACGGCATTTTGAGTACTCCGGCAAGCGATGTTCATGTACGACTGAAAACAACCAGCAAAGCGATGTTAAAAAATTGCAAGAGACACCACTAACAATCAATAAAAGAAACAAAATTCGGTGAAACATTTACAGAGACAACAATTTTCATTCACGAAGACAAGTACTGAGTGTAAAGTGTCTCTGAAAATCCTGAGCTTTAAAGCATGTAAGCTTAACCCGGCTTCCCGGTGTTTGCTATTTTTCAAGATGAACTCGAGGCAAGAAAATCACTCAAAGCTTTCTTTTTACAGCCAAAATTATAACTAAATATTTTTCGCAACGTTTCCTTTCTAATTGCGGTAAGAAAATGTCTAAAGGTTTTTTAAAGTTCTGTAAGCTTATATTAAACCTGATACTAAGTCAGATCAACCGTGCATAAACTAGCCGCATAAACTACGCTCGACTTCATGAAACCAGAAAAAAAAAGCAACAAAAAACCCATCAAATTCAATAATTACTCAGGCTAACCAGTCGAGATGCAGTTCCTGAAAACCATCAAGTAAGGCCAGAATCCCTTGAGACGTTTTAACCATCTTACGCGTCAAGCAAAGTGAAAAACGAAAACGATGCCATCTGAAATCGGATTTCCGATGACTTGGACAAGCGGGGCATTTCTCAACCAAAAACCTAATAAACAAACCAGCCATGAATAACAGAAGAATCTTGAAAGCAGCTGTATTTCATTTTGTACATCTAGTAGAGAAAGGCATTTAAAAACATCAGAAGATTGCACAAAAGTCTTTCAGCTTCAGCTATCAGTAAACACGTTTCCAGATGCTTCATAAATTTTTCCGGGAGAACTCAACTCTCAAATTTTGATCAATCAGAGCCCAAAAATTTGACCTAAAGCGTGTCCAACGCGTGACCATGGTGTAAAAAGCATTTGCCTTTCCTGCCTGTAATAGCTGTCTGAATTTTCGCGTCCGAGGTCAATTTGAATTCAAAATTTTAAAATTGCGGGTCATTAAAAAAATTTATCTCCTCGAGCTGTGTATTTAAAAAAATTGAACTTGAGCCTGAGATCATTTGAAAACTGGTAACTTGTCAGGGGGTAACTTCAAAAAAATACTCGACCTGGGATGGGTCGATACCTGAGCCCGCGATACGGTCAGGTGATACTGGTCGTCGAATACCTTGTTTTGACAGTTTTCAATTGATATGGATGTGCAATATAAGGTTGCACCTGGGCTTCCAAACTAGTAAAAAAGTGTGAGATTAAACATTGGTTTCCCTGTGATGCGGACGGACGTTCGGTCGATGTAGGGTCACGTGATTACCAAATATTCTCGGATGGGTAGCTTTTCTTAGCTATTTGACTCCGCCCGTGCCCGCTTCGCTATCGCGTGGAGCTCCGCTATGACACTAACTAAATTGTGTATTCTAAGCCATCAGTTCTAAGAAAACATGCAACTTTTATCCCACAGTTACTCCGCCATTAGAGTGTACTCATCAAGGCTACACCAATCTTAGTGAAGCCAATAGGTACTGGAGCTCTAATGATGGGGGGTCGTACTGTGATGACAGCATTGGCAATGACCAGTGGTACCGCTTTGTAGGAGCGGCTGGAGTGATGATGGCTTCCCACTGCATTCCTATCTCTACGTGCAACACCGAAATGGCTGGCTGGATCAATGGCGCACACCCCGCAGAACCTTACGTTTTGGTATCAAGAACAGCATGTATGCACTCCGGCTCAAGCTGCTGTCATCTTCAAATGTCAGTTAAGATACGTAATTGCGATGGATTTTTCGTTTACCAGCTTCCGGCACTCGCTTCTTGTAATGCTCGTTACTGCGGTGTCAATGGTAAGACTTGTCCTGAAACGGATGCTCTATTTACAGATTTCAACCTTGCTCTCTGAGTTGTAGCTCACCTTATTTAGTATCCACCAAATCAGTGGATAGCAATTTTCACGCGTTCTGTTTTGGGACGGGATTCCAAATGGTTTGTCTTGTCGCGACAGTTTCGAAAGATAAAATTTTAGCGGTAAATGAAGCATCTGCACGTTCAAATACCAAGAAAGGGACAAAATTTGGCTTGTCGGTGTTTAGTGGTCAGTAGAAAAACATTTTCGTCCTTAATTTGCAACAAAATCATAAACAATGATCGCCATAACACTGTCAACTAAAACGTAAACAAACTGTAAGTGACGTCTTTTATTTACAAAAAGCTCCTTTTTGACTTTTATCCAACTTATTTGGTAAATACTAAAACAACTATTACCCTCAGGGTCGGTTCATAGCGCTGAATATATACACGCTTCGCCTGTATATATCTACCACTATACACCTCCCCTTCGGGGGATAGTTGTATAATATCCACCCTTTCACTTTGCTGTTTTTAAAATCCCAGTCTATATGACATAGAACTGAGCAAGAGAGAATAACAGGAGAGGGAGGGAAACGCCCAGTTTAGCCTTTGGGATAAGTGACTATCACTTAAGTTATCAGGAGAGCACTTTGGGAAGCACCGCATCGTATAAATATAAAACTATAAGCCCCATGTACTATAATTCATAACACGCTTCTTGGTAAATTTTCTTTCCTCAACGAAAATGCGTCTGCAAACTAGACTGAATTTCCTAAATACAAAAAGGCAAACTAGACCATTTACAATCATTTATTTTATTTATAGTCCTAATGGCTCTGGTTTACTTGTGTTTCTTATCTTTTATTTCTTTGGGTTACTTGTTGCCTTGGAAGGTTTTAGGCGATTGGGAGAATTTTTGTTATTGTGGGAACCCCTTTGATATTTTAAGCAATCTCGCCAGTGACTAAGGAAACTCTTGTTACCTAGAGCGGATACGTAATATCAAGATCAATTTATATTCTTAAAATTTACATTCCCAGCTAACGCCCAGTTTCCCTCTTTGTCCCATCAACCACTCTTCCGGCTGGGTTAAAGTAAAACTTCAGCAAGGAGGTTCCACTAATTTAGCCTCGTGTGTCTCCTCGGTTATGGACTAAAATTTGACCAGAATACAACGAATACATGTATACATAGTGTAGACGAATTAATTGCTAATTTAAGATAATTTGTGTGTAAATATGTGTGGCTCTTGCAGATGTGAACGATGCCTGTTCGGCTTTGCCTGGTTCCAGCACTTGTATCTGTGATCCTGGTTATGCTGGAGTGCCTTGCAGTGGTTAGTGATAAGTAGCGATCTCTTAAATCATAAATCGCAATCATTTTTTTAATGTAATAATCTGAACTCTTTTGTGTGTTTTGTCATGAACAAAACTGACTACAATATCAGTTTTCTTTTCATTTTGCGTGAAGCTTTCAACACAGTCACACAATGTAAACTTTCTGTAAGCTTCTGGTTGCAACAATTTATGTGAAAGAAATAAACGTTTTTCCAAAAAAAAGAAAAAAGCTAGTTTGTAGAACACGTCATCTTCAACTCCCACGTGACAGCTATTTTTCATTGTTAGTAAGTAGTGAAGTAAAACGGGATCCGATGACGTGTCTATGAAATGGATCAGTACTTTAGGGTACTGCGGTATATGTTCAATTTTAAAGATTTTTATAATAGCGCTACAATTTAAAATTGTCTAAATTTAATTTAAATAAGGAAGTCGTTTTCCTTTTTTCCTCAAAGATGTCGATGAATGCCAATCTGGATCACATAACTGCAGTATTAACGCTCAATGCAATAACACTATTGGGGCATTTACCTGCACTTGCAATCAGGGATACTCAGGAAATGGGATGGATTGCCAAGGTGAGGCTAGCCTAAGGAAATAAAAATGAAGTGACGTTTTTGTTAAACTTTACCGATTGGTTGTTTATATTGTAGAAACTAAAATTTTAAATTAAATTGGGGTTCCCATACTCGTTTAGGAGTAGGAGCAACTTGTATATGCGCAATTATTTTTCTTTAAAATACTAACATGATTACATTAACGAGTACTTGCTTTGAACACGTATCCGACGATTCAGTTTCTTTTTGTGCATTGGGAATAAAAAAATGAAGATTTATCTTTGGGGAGATATGACTTAAGGCAAAAGACGCCATGTTTTAATGTGCGCGCTAATCACTCATGAAATTATGCGCAATTAGGATGCGCGATGCAACACTAAGAAATAACCTTAAGGCAAAGAACGAGATCTATCATTCTTAATATACTGTTCTTCTGAATTTGAAGTTGTCTTCCTTAGACATCGACGAATGTGCGACATTTACCCACACTTGCCATGACAATGCTACTTGTATTAACACTGCTGGCTCATTCACCTGTGCTTGTAACCTCGGCTTTAGTGGAGATGGACAGTTATGTACAGGTATCACTTCTCAGTTCTTCGTCTTGAAATTTATCCAGTAGAATAGTTATGGAAATTTCTACGGCTCTATTGTTTCCTATTACTTGCTGTGCGAGATTTTATTGGTTAGGTTTTTTTAGTTGCCTCGCCCAGCGTAGCTCGAGTAGGAGAGTGACCCTTCTACTTGGGATAACCTTACTCAATATAAACGGATCTTAAGTGCTTTTTCATTACCCGACTAACTAGATGCATGGACTGTCCAAAAGGTATTGCTAACAAAAAAAGAATATTGACAGAAAACCAAAGAAGTTCTTCCTTTTTTGCTACTTATAGACATTGAAGAATGTTTCACAAATGAAGACAATTGCAATTTCCATGCCACTTGCAACAACACGATTGGGTCTTTTTTCTGTACATGCAATCGAGGCTACACAGGTGATGGAGTTAACTGTTCAGGTAAGAATAAATTTTCTTGTTTCGTCAAGCCCAGTCTTAACTTACGACTACGTAAGCATCAGCTGACAATTAGGTCGTAGTGGAGACAGGTTATGAAAGCCGGCAAACATAAAAAAATAAAAACAACGGTGCCGCAGTTTTTGCTGGGAGCTTTCTGACAGTGTACAATTTATGATTGAAAAAATTAATACATTATAATCGATTAGTAAGTTATTTCACGTGTAAAATGCTATCGTTCGGTGAAAATCAGAGAACATATAACACAAAAGTCTGACGGGCTTCATAGCAGTTGCACTTCATATATAAGAAAATCTGTTTTTTCCTCTCAGGCTGTTATCGCCTCACACATTACATTTCGACTATTGTCCAACTAATATATATTATGCGCTAGAGAGATCACTATTTTTAGTCATTTTCACGAACTATTTGAGGTCTTAGACTAAATCGCATTCAAATTCACAGATATAGATGAATGTACCACAGGAACTCACAATTGTCACGGCGTTGCTCATTGTTACAATACTGATGGTTCCTTCACGTGTAGCTGTAGGACTGGTTACACTGGAGATGGTCTGACGTGCGATCCCGAAGGTGTGTTTCTTCAGCAGTCCCCCCTTTTTTTATTTATAGCGATATTCAGATATACCTTTAGGAGCTATAGAATTATGTCGATGGGTTTGCAATGATGGTACTTCATTCTTTGATGACCATTTTGCGGTTTTTAACAGGTGACTTCTTTGTGTCCATAAGAAATATTTCTAAAGACAAGTATCACGCCACCCCTATCAAGAGAGCCGTCAAAAGCGTTCAGGAAGCCCTAATTCAAGGTTTACCAGATGGTGTTTCTATTGTGGAAAGCGTATTGCAATGGCGTCTAGTAAGTGAAGCAGAGCTGGCAGCTTCAGAGTCTGCAGAAGGGACTTTAGTAAGTCAAGGAACTTCTGAGTGGATCATAAACAGAAGATCCGTAACCTCGGGCATCTATCAAATCAAATTCACTGCATCAGTCAAGATTGGTGATCCAGCCGCTCCGCAGACTCTCCAGGCGTTTGATTACGGTTTCATTAAAAGTATCCCAGGTCCAGTACTTGCAATAATTGACGGTGGGAGCAGTGTTAGATGGGGGTCTCCAGAAATTGTTGCAGTCGATGGTTCACTCAGTTATGATGGAGACATTGGTCCTGGAACCCACACTGGCCTTAATTTCACTTGGTCTTGTTCATGGAACAATTCAATCAGTTTTAATTGCTTCGGTGCACTTGTGAACGAAAACGACAATGCTACGACCATAACTATTAATACAGCTTACCTCAAAGTTGACAATGCTTATGTTCTAAAGTTGACTGTTTCCAAAGATACAAGAACGGCTTTTGCTGAAATGAACTTTGAAATAGCTGACGGGGAAGTACCGCAGGTGGTGCTAAGGTAAGAATTATCAGTATGGAACCTTTTAAGAGTGTGAGTTAAATTTTTAAGCTTATTGCCTTAATTTTCATTTTTTCACGATATAAAATAAGGTCAGCTTTTGAATCAATCAGAAGGATGAGTTAAATCATGTCAGGATCAGTTTCATCTAAGACATCTGGACAGAAATTTTATCAAGATAGCTACTATGGAATTGAAGCCATCCTCAATCTCACACATTGACAAAAAATTATCTTGTGCAAAAAAAGCCTTGCAAATAAAATTTGGACGTTATTTTAGCACTTTTTATTGCTGAAATTAATGAAAACAGCTTTCCCCTTGATTTGCAACATCTTATTAAAAAGGATACTCTCTTTTTTATCTAAACAAGTCATTAACCCGTTATTAAAGTTTAGTAAGACTTTGTTTGAATTTCTGATATATGCAAGAGTTGCCTTCATTATAAATAGCTAAATTAAGTGCCAGAGAGCGGTATTAACAAATAGAGGCGAACTGAAGTATAAAGGTATTTTGTTTTTCTGTCAACTTCTAGATGCTTTATTGATTGCGGCAAGGTAGTGTCCGCTTCAAACAAGCTCCGCGTGACTTCCGAATGTCCCAATGCAGCCTGCAATGGCTCAGTTTACGAGTGGCGTCTAAAGCAAAGAAAGGAAGAAGCAGAACCGTGGGAGAATATACCTATTTTGCCCAATATGACATCCACTGCGGTAGATGCCCCTAACATGATTATCAGGAAAAATTCTTTGCCCTCTGGTTTCTACTTCAGTTTACAACTCCTCGTAACATCTCAAGCAGGTTCAGAAGGGTTTGGCATTCTCGAGTTCGAGACCGCCGGAGTTCCACACGGTGGGTTTTGTGAGGCGTCAGCCAACGAGGGTGTGGCGCTTGAGACGGAGTTTACGTTTGAGTGCTTTGAATGGGAAGACAAAAATGCTCCGATAACATACGAATTCCGAGTCGGAAAGGACATAATATCTTATGGAAGCTCTCCAAAATCGGCCACAACAGCGTTACCCTCCGGACAGCCAGAAAACGATTTTCGGCTACCAATAAGCATCATTATAAAGAACTCTGTCGGTGTAAAGGTTGTGGAGACCATGTCTGTTAAGGTAAACTCATAAAAATGATAGCCGCTAGAGTTTGTGTGTATTGTACAAGAGAGAAATGCAGAAAGAATCCTAAGTTACTGTAATCATTCTAACCAGAATCCCATGGTTTTATACGCGGATTATTGTGGTTCGTTGTCAAGTCGTAGGTGGTTTCATGCTCACCTTATATGTTTCCCATAAGATAAATTGATATGTACTATTGATGACAAACTACTGCCTAATTTTGGTGCAAGATGTCAGCGTTAATTTATGATTTCACTGTGAAAGTACAAAATTGTTATTTCAACCTTCCGGAAACCTAGACAAGCGTAACTGCGCAATCACAAACAGCAAGAGATTTTTTTTAACGGGGTTTTTGTCTAACACTTAAGGAAATGACGAGAAATTTATACAAAATGTATGATCTAAACTTTTTAATGCTAGGAGTTCTCGATACGATAAACAAGTCAAAACCTAGGATTGTGAGCGATATTGCCATCAATGATATTTCGGAATGCTCATAAAATTCGGAAATGATTTTCTGAGCTTTTAACCTTTAGAATTTTGACTAAAAGCGCATAAAATCATTTCCTAATTTTACTAGGCAACATTTTATTACACATACTAAAACCATAGCACATTCCTTTCGAGGTTAATGATATAATTATATTTTTACATTACGAGAATTTTTCTCTTTCCTTGAACAGGTCAAGGGATCTTCCAAGTTTGACCCATGTTTCACTCCAGCTAGTGAAGTGGAAGAGCAGTTAAAAACCTTTGTAGTCGGGGACGACAATAAGTTGGACGGATTTCTAAACAAAGGTGAAGTCAGCCAGGCCGCACTGCTGGCGCTGTCTGTGCTGAAAGCTGCTAACGCAAAACCACTTTGTGGACAAGGATTGAGTTCGCTTACAAAGATACTTGTACGTGCGTTTTACTTCATAAGGGTAACTCATGGTTGAACTAGGTAGCCATTCCTTTTCTTTTCGTATCATACACTTTCAGTAAGACTACAGAATGCACTTCAATGAATGTCAATGCTAATTTTGTGTTATACTGTATTGACTTTTTCCTATACGTGCCATCCATTCGGTTTTTAGGAGGCAAAAGAAAATGTGGTGAATAAGGCAATAATGCCGGACTTGAAAATTTAAAATCTTTTTACGGGCAAAAATGTGTTTATCTAGACGTGTCTACAAAGACAACATTTATCTTTTCAGAATTCAGTCGTAAATTGAACCCCTTTTGAATGTCAGTAGATGTTGCAAGGCGTGATGTTTTTAGTGCAGGTTCAACGTGTTTGTGCTCCCTAACCAAAATACGAGGTAAAATCAAAGCCACCGCACTTGGTGTTTCCTCAATGAGACGAGTTTTAGTTGCCAAGATACTTTTGATAAAGGTGTATTATTATATGCAAAGAGTTTAGCATGAAGGCATGAGGCATGAAGCAACAGACATGGGAATAAGTCGATGGGATGAGCTTTTATTTAACGGTTTTGGCTATATCATTTAATGCTAATATTACATTGATCTACTCAGATCTCAACCATAATAACGGAGAAGTTCTCAGCGATAACACCGGAGAGTAACAAGATGACTGATGTGATTATGGGTGTCATCAACGAGGCAACTGGAGGAGGAGGAGATGGGGCGAACGCTATGGTATCAAAATATTCTGTTTAATGCTTGTCTAATTATCTTATCTCTTACATCGTTCCATCATTATCCATTAACCAACCCATCGTCATCCCTGACCCCATTTCTTTTGTCATAGCAGCTAGTAATACACATTGAGAGCAGGAGACGCGCTAGGAGAAGACAAACAAAGGCGATTAGCCTTTTTAATGATGTGAGCTCCTTGTTGTTTTCTACCCCAGTGCGTCCCTTACTCTTCAGAACGGTGGTTTTGTACCACGTGAATGAGAAGCTGTAAAGGGGCTATTGCCCAAACAACGACTATATTAAGTTTTTGAAAATAACTATTTTGGCGTCTTCAAGTGTAAGATGTCACTAGTAAAATTTAAGATCAAGTATTCCCTTCCAAATGCTGTTGAATGGTAGATAATTGGGTCTTTCATCCATTCTTTGCGATTGATTGACTGATTGTTGGTTGCTTTATTGTTTCTTCATTGTCTTGACATGCTAAAGTGATTCCTATTCTGTTCTTATGTACATTCTTCAGACATTTTCTTATATTAAAGTTGATAAATAACTTTCTCTCTCTCGATGATTCTTTCCTTTCTTCCTTCCGAGTGAATAAGCGAAATGGTGAGGCAAATAATAATAATAATAATAATAATAATAATAATAATAATAATAATAATAACATAATAATAATACTAATAATAATAATTTTATTGAAGTTTTAAAAAAATATGTACATAATTTACAGAAATATTTGAAGTAAGAATTAAGCACTATATAGCATTAAGAATTATATAAATCATAGAAACAGCAATCACTGTGTCATTAACGATTTCGCAAATACATTCCTTGCGGCTCAGACTCGGTCAATGACTGTTGCAGGCAGTCCAGATATTAAATTAAGTAATTACAGAAGAGAATTATCCGTCTCTGATATTAAAAAGAAAACAAGTTAAAAAGAATAAAATCTCGCATTCCTAAATTCCTAATTCTTTATAAAAAAAGATCCTTGAAAAGATTAATTCGGGCGATCTGTAGGTCTGAGTCAACAAAGTCTAGCTGTCTTCTTCTGGATCTCTAGCCTCTCAAGCATAGAGTCGCAGAGCGTACGATGGCGAAAGGTACTTTAGCTCTTATCCAGGAAATTGCGCTTGATTAACTTTCTCACATCTTATTTGCGATCAGCTCCGCAAGTCTGCTGTGGTACTTAACACACTCATCCGCCTTTCCACCTGTGGTCGTGAAAACTAGGGGAGTGAACGTTCCCTGTTCGATCTCCATTACTCTTTCCGCATACTGTCTCTTCTTCACGTTCTCATGCTTCTTGTAGATCTGCTTAGGAGTCACGTCTCTGTAAGAGTCTGCATTAGGGTGACACTCCCGAACGTGAAAGAATGCAGATCTCTGTCTCTCCCAAATAATAATAATAATAATAATAATAATAATAATAATAATAATAATAATAATAATAATAATAATAATAATAATAATAATAATAATAATAATAATGGAATAGGTCGCTAACTGCACAGTGTTCATGAAGGTGCCAGCCTTCATACTTTGTCAAAAAATGACCCATTCGAGTGACAAGCTAACCTTAGAAACCACCTACGGATGGTAGGAAAAACATATTCCCGCACGAAGATATACTTTATCAATTGTTTGTCATTGTTTTCAGGACATGGCCCTAAAAATGTCCGATACTGCAACAACAGCACTTGCCGATACCTTGGGCGACCCG